ATGCCCTTTAGTTTTTTCATATATTCTACGAAAAATGTAACTCACACTGGTCAAAATTTTATAATGCAATTAACATATAATTTGGTGGGAAATAACCAATAACAAAAGTGAAAAAAATAGTACTAGTCAAGGTTAATGACTGTCACTGACTCGTTATCACTAATTCACTACTCAGTGAGGAAAATAAAATAGAAAAAGAAAACTTTTTTATATACTTTTATTTATTTTTAATTAATAAAGGGATAACAAATGGAGCACGTACAGTCCAAAAAATCCGATCAAGTGGAAACAGCTAAAGAACCTTTTTTGTGTGATTGATCCTTTGTGTGCAAAATGCTGAACGGAGGTGAGTTCACGCGCCGCCGAACAGTAACCTCCGTTTAAGTAAATTCCGGCGAGAGAAGACGAAAACCATGGGATGTGCAGCGTCGAAGCTCGATAACGAAGATACTGTCCGGCGATGCAAGGAACGACGTCGTCTCATGACGGAATCTGTTCGTTCACGACATCAACTTGCTGCAGCTCACGCCGATTACTGCCGATCTCTTCGTCTTACTGGATCTGCTCTTTCCTCTTTCGCTGCCGGTGAGCCTTTAGCTGTATCCGATCAAACTCCGGCTGTTTTTCTCCATACACCTCCTCCTCCGACGTCGTCTCAACACTCGTCTTCTAATTTCGTACCTCCGTCACCGGCTCCTTCTTCCGTTTACACTCCTCCGGTTCCTCCGTCGCGATCTCCTTCCGTTGCTAGCTCTAAACTTCCTCCGATTCTTTCTGCGTCTTCTAATCGGCGACGGAAACAGCAACCTAAGATGCCTCATATTCTCTCAAGCCCTTCGTCTTCTCCTAAAAGCGAGAGATCCAATTTCATGCCGAGTTTCTACCCTACTGCTTACCAGAACTCTACCTACTCAGCGACTCCTTCTCAAGCTTCTTCTGTATGGAACTGGGAGAATTTTTACCCTCCTTCACCTCCTGATTCCGAATTCTTCAACAGGAAATCTCAAGAGAGGCAACGAAACCGGTTTGGCGACGGCGATGATACGGAAACAGATAGATCGGAGGTTGATTTCTTCCATTCGAGGAAGCAGAAGAAGCAGTTCGAGTCTATGAATAGTGCGGTTGAGGAAGAGGAGACAGAGAGAGAGGAAGTACAGTGTAGTGAGTGGGAGGATCATGATCATTACAGCATGACGAGCTCTTCCGACGC